GGATGAGACTTGTATGAGATGCGCTAAGTGTCATCCTCAGTGGTCCAGCGGGTTTCCCATAGCTGCAATGACACAATGTTGTCCTAGAACTGCCTTTCAGGTGGTTTGTGGTTTGTTCCTGATTGTTTATTTGTTTGCAGTTTGTGGGAAACTAACTTGCAAACAGATCTGAGCTGCAGTACTGCTCCTGTCCAATGCAGAGACTGGGAAAGTTGTCAGAAGTTGTGCCCAGGGGCTGGAAGACACCTCTGCTGTTTCTAACCTCTTTTGCTTTCCTTTTGTTCTTCTGTCTCCCTAGAGATATGGGGTGAGATCTCTGCATAGACAGGTACCTACTACCAGGGCTCAACAGTCTTGCATCTCCGCATGCAAGACCTCCAGCATGGATCACTGCTTACCAGGAGGATCGGCAGGAGAGAGAGGGAAGCACATAGGCACAGCAACCTGAGAGATAGCCGACATCTGCGGAATGCTACCACACTACAAGGTACAGCCCTGGTGCTGCAAAGGTAAGGTGACTTGCACAGTCTTACAGGGGTACATGACTCAATCCCTTTTAAAGCTAACAGCTCTGCCAAGCTGGGGGCAAGGTTGTATACTCTGGGGTGTTGTTACTTCTCACTTGGCAAGCCTGGAGGTTATGCACTAGAGGGTTCATTTCTTCCTTCTCCTTAGGCTTTTGGAGATGGGAGGGGGGGTCTCACGTAGCCCAAACTGGGCTTGAACTTGCAGCAATTCTCCTGTCTCACCTTCCTCCATTCTAGGATCCCAGGCATGTGTCATCGGTCTGTTCTGAAAGAGGAAACGGAGAAGGCAGTGGTGACAGATGGCAAGAAGGGATTCCGCTATCGAACAGGTCTACGAAGGCTCAGAACCAGGGCTCACTCCCTCTAGGCCACGGTAACATTTGAGCCAATGTGGAGTGAAGCCTCCAAGGACTGGCCATTCTCCATCCAGGTTCCAGGCCCGGCAGAGGTGCAGCTTTTTTTGTCCTGGGCTTCTTCCAGGGGTACAAGGGTGGGACTGACCTCTCAAGCCCCCCTCTTTCCTGCCACTCAACATCAACAGGTAGGAAGTCAAAAAAAAAAAAAAAAAGCCTTCGGTAATCTAGGTAGGGCTGCCGTCAAAGCCCTTCCCCTGCAGCCTTTTGTTAAGCGTCCTAAACAAGTGAACAAGGGCTAAAGAAACACAGCTCCCACCCTGAATATCCAACTTCAATTTCCCTGCTGAGTCACTCTCAGGGGGGGTTTGCTCCAGCTGCCTGGGGATTTGTCTGCCCAGTTGGTGGTTTGATCTGCCCTATCCCTCCCTTCTTCCCCTCGCGCAGGTGAGGAAAGTAAGCTCCGAGAGGAGCCATCTTTTGCCCGAAGTCACACAGCGAATGTCCGCGGAGTGGAGGGCAGTGGTGGAATTCCTGGCGGCCCTTGGCGCCCATTTGTCTGCCCGCTTCTGATACCCGGGTTCGGAGAATAGGCCTCTAACAAGCGGCCCATTAGAAGGAATTGTCACTCCTCCGGGAGTGAGGTTGTCCCATTAGGGCGAATTGTCATTCCTCCTGGAGCGAGGTTGTCCTGGCTCCGCGCAGGCTGAGTGCCGGGCCGAGAGCAATTAACGCGGCTCCGGCGCGGGCAGCCGCCTCTGCCCCGGGCAGCGGGGGCGGGGCGCCCGGCGCGGCTGGAGCCGGTCACCCGGCGCAGCCCCTTCCCCCGGAGCCCGCCTTTCATCTCCCCGCGCCTGGCGCCTACCCGCAGCCCTGGCCCGTCTACTGCCTTCTCTGCCCCTCCCCCGGCCCCTCCTAGCCACTGGGATCCCGCGATCCGTCCTCGGGGTTGCAAACGCCCAGGTCGGTGCTCAGCGCTTCGCAGCTTGCAAAGAGTGCCTTCACCTTGGAGTTCGGGCGCGCTCCCGCGGCTGCTCCCCTTAGGGTCCGGGCTCCTGCGACTTGCATCAGGGGTGTGGGGAACTCGGGAACGTGCAAGCTTAGGCCCAAGGGAAATTCGAGGGTGTCTCACCTACTATTTGCATGATTGGGCAGCTTCCGAGGCTTTTCCATGGTTAGACAGAGATACAGTCTCAGCCTGTAGTGATGTGTTTGAAAAGCAAATGAGATTCTGCTCAAGTTCAGGCTCTTGGGCAAGGTGTAAAGGTGACGCTTCTTGGTGGCTGGATTCTAGTTGGAACCCCTCTTTAACCGCTTCAAGTATTAAAGTTGCATATACATTATTCTAATCACCCCGGAGTTAAAAAGTTTACTGCGTGTCTGTGTCCGAGGTGTCAAAAGCCCGTCCTCCGCTCTGGGAAGACACCCAAACCTGCACCTTTTTCAGACTGGAATTTTAGAAAGGACCTGTCTCGGGGTCGGTGAAGGCCGGTAATGGCTCCTTATTTTCGGATACCTGAGACAAAGAAAGAGTTGAATAAATTAATGCTGCTTTTGATATACAAGATTATTTCAAAACTAATTCCCCTACACCCACCACTTTATGAAGCCTACTATTAGTAGAAAACTAATTCCCACAAGATCCTTCCGAAGGAATGACTGCTCTTTACTTCGGAGCCACGGAGATGTGAATAAAATATTCGGAGGGTATGCAAAACTCTGCAGTAGATTGGGGCTTTCCACGAAGGGCTAACTCCGTGTTCAGGCTCTTTACGCCCCTGGTCCCCACCCTAGCAGAGTTGGGGAGGAGGCGCCTGGCATGGGGATGCAGATCGCCAGCTGCCTCCTTGGCCATGCGTCCTGTTCATGGCCAGAGCTTGGCACCCTGGAAAGCAATATTCCTTTTCACTATCTCCCTCTGTGTCTTATCATTTCCCCCAAAATAGTGAGGGAGAGCCTGGGTTTTCCTCTGCCAGAACTAAATGAAAATAAAAGCATTTCAGTGGAATTGATCCCCTCTTTTCTTTTTTAAACTTCTTAGGAATCAGCCTGTGACCCTACACGGACACATTTTTAAAGATGGGGTTTTGGATTATTTATAAGGCATTGGCTGGGTTCAGCCTAACTCAAATGTGAACTTTATTTTACTGTACACTTTGGCAACTGAGGGCTAAACGAATTTTAGATTTGCTTCCAAAATCTATAACCCCACGTCTTGCCCCACACATCAAGAAGACACGGAACTTAATCTGGATTTACCTGTATTGTATTTGAGATTCCTATCATCAGGTTTGACTCCAGGGAAAATGTGCGCAACTCCAGACAGCTGTCATAGTCCTCAGGCTTTCTCTGGGCTTCCAGCCTTAGCAACGACAACAACAAAGTGTTTGGATCTTGTGGTAGGAGAAAGTTCCAAAAGTTCTTTTCAGAAGATCGTTTAGAACTTAACTTTTAAAAAGCTTTTCCAAAACTGAACTGAAAATCTCTGGTGAAGGCTTTTTGTCTTCTCAGATTATTTTCCCCCTTGGGTCCTTTCAGACCAGTGAAGTTTCGCTCCAGCAAACGTCTGGGGCGAAGAACACTGCTTCAGAAGAGTCTCCTGAAAAGAGTTTAAGGCTCGGTAAGTCTAGGAGGTCAAGTTTCTAAACTCCTGAACTGGAAGGTACCTGCCAAGCTTTGGCCATTTCAACAGTTTTAAACAGTGGTCTTCCCTTCAGTGCTGGAGGAACTGATCAGGAAGCTGTTTCTGGACCTGGGCTGAGCAGGATTCTCTTTCCCTCACCACGGGATGGTCTTTTGGATATAGGAAAAAGCTTGCGAGGCCTGAAATGTGTCGTTTGAAGCGATCTGTCTGCTACTGCTGGCTGCGGGCTGGGCTCAGAACCATTCCAGGCCTCTGTCTCAAAACTCTCTTCAGTGCCTGGATGCAGCTGGTCACCCATGCTGTAGGACTGTCCTCAATTTAGGGTGGGGCAAGGGTAGGTATGCAGCTTTAAAAAAATCAAGTCAGGTGAGATGTCCTTTTCCCAAAGATATTCAGGCTTGGAGTTTGCAAACTTGAAACAGTTATCGCCAAGATTTGCAGGAATAAAGACACCAAGTGTCACAAAGTGCCCTTCTCCCCTGCCCATCCCTCCCAAGGCAATGCTGGCACCTGAACCCCATTGGCAGACACAAGCTCAAAAAAAAAACACACATTTGCGCTGACCTAGAGAGGAGATTCAGGGGGCAAGAAAGTACACGCATTTTCAGTTTCTAAAATTAGTCCTGGAAGAAATGGAGACCATTTGTATAAATTAGCCACTAGGAATCAATGGGCGCCAGGTGTGCTGGCGCACACCTACAATCGCAACACGCAACACTGGCCACTGGAAGAGGCCAGGGTGATCTCTGCAAGTTCAAGACCATCCTGGGCCATGGGCCACATAGTGAGCGACTTCTAAGCTACTCCAAGCTGGAGAACAAGAGCCTGTTTTAAAGGAAAAGGAAAGGAAAGAAAGGGAAGAGAGGAGAGGAGAGAGATTAGTTGGGCATTCCTTGACCACCTCTCAGCCTCCCTTATCCTAGGTCCCTTTTCTTGAGGATTGAGTTAACGTAACAGCTAATGTCTTGGAACACTTTCCAAAGACAAGATGCTTCTAAACATCATGCCTAAACCATTTCCATTAGCAAAGATGCCGGCCACTGTTTTCCACTATAGTTAGAAAGTTACACTAGTCTGGGCTCACAGTAGGAGCGTTATAAAAGTTCCAGGAATGTCATCTGCGGATTTCCACCGTTCTCAGGCAGGGAGCGTGTGGGATGGGCACCAGGTACACTTTAAAGAGGGGTTAAAAGACAGAAGAAATGGGACTCGGCAAGCTTCCTCTTTAAACAATCGGCTTTAATTACGCCTTGGACTTTTCAGTTTGGGCGATTATAACCCTTGAGGGATCGCCTAATAACAACTCTGCTGACTGCTCCTGTAATTAACTCCTAATTTATTTCAAACGGGGTGGGGTGGGGTAGAGGGCCCCAGCCTCTCCAGAGAGAACCAATCAGAGGCGAGCGTCCGTGGCGTCAGGAGCAGAGCAGCCGCCAATTGGCTGAGCCGAGTCTCCCACTTCCCCTCCGTGGACGGGCTGGGCTCCCGGCGCGCCCCTGCCGGCTCCCCCCCCAAAAGTTGGAGTCTTGGGTTGCAAGTTGCCAGCGGAGTCGCGCGCCGAGAGCTAGACGGCGCAGAAAGTCATGGCTTCTCCGGCCAAAGGCAGTGACTTGTTTTCGTCAGACGAGGAGGGTCCCGCGATGCTGGCCGGCCCGGGCCCCGGACCTGGGGGTGCCGAGGGCGGCGTGGAGGAGCGCAGGGTCAAGGTCTCCAGCCTGCCCTTCAGCGTGGAGGCGCTCATGTCCGACAAGAAGCCGCCCAAGGAGTCGCCCGCGGTGCCACCCGACTGCGCCTCGGCTGGCGCTGCCCTGCGGCCGCTGCTGCTGCCGGGACACGGCGTCCGGGAAGCGCACAGTCCCGGGCCTCTCGTCAAGCCCTTCGAGACCGCCTCGGTCAAGTCGGAAAATTCCGAAGATGGAGCGGCGTGGATACAGGAGCCCGGCAGATACTCCCCTCCGCCCAGTGAGTGCGCGCCCGGGACCGGACCCGGGGCTGCATCCGCGCGTGGGGTCCTAGAGGGGCTGGGGACGGGTGTTAACAGGATGATGCTCTTGACCCCTGGGTACCCCAGTTCAGCGAGCGGTCCGCATCCCAGAATCCCTAGCTGCGCGAAGTCTAAGGTACCTGCGCGCTGGCTGGCATTTGAAAACCAAAGCACAGTTGTTGCTGTCTGCAGCCCTTAGCCCCCTGCTCCGGACTCTTCATGTTTGTGTTTCACTGTCCATCATGGTACCTGCCCGGGCAGAAGGGGAGAGTCACTGTTTTGTTTCGTTGAGACAGGGTCCCTTGTGGGCCGTGCTGGCCTCGAACTCTGTATCGCAGGATAGTTTTGAATTCATCCTCCTGCTTTTAAGTTCTGTAATTACTGACTTGGCACGACCACGCCGGGCTGGAATCGACTTCTAATGAGTATCGAGATATGTTTTACTGACGTTCAAAATATACAGGCGTCCCTGTGAAGTGAGCCCCACTCTAAAGATAAGACAATTGGAGGTTAACCAGACGTGGAGGGGAAATCGTTGGTTTTCCTCGAATTGCAGAGTGTCCAAGCCAGATCCTACGAAGGGATGGCGGCAGAGACTGATTCGGAAAGGAAGCTGCTCCGTGTTCTAGTTCGTTGTTGATTAGGTTTTGAGTTTTGCAGCGAGCTAGTTAGTTCGGGCCAGACCCTCACGGGCGCTTCTGGGTTCACAGTGATAATTACCAGCTTTCCTTCAGAACTTGAGAGTATAAAGTGTGGTGGCCACGAGTTCACCGGGTTTGGCTGCTTGGTAGAACCTCAGAGTACAGGCAGAGGCATGCCACCTGTGGCTTCGGACATGGTGGCTAGTGCTTTGCTTTTAAGAAGACTGCGCTTGCTTGTCCCAGGCCACCATCCATGCTTGCACTGGGCATGGGGATCTGGTTGTCCATGCTTTCTGTGACCCTCTATCACTGGGGGCTGGCCATACTGATCTTTTTCACCAACACCCCACCTCTAGTGAGTCTGTGTTGACTGCCTTCCCAGGCTTAGCATCCTTTTAGGGTCCTGGGTCCTTTTACTATTGCCATTTGTCAGGCCCACTCCCTGCAGCTTTGTTTAGTTTTATCTTTTGGCCTTTGAGATTTATCTGCTCTGTTGCCTTTTTTCTGTGCGTACCCCTCACTAAACTTTGGGAAAGTTGAGAAAGGAGGATTGTGGAGGGACTTTCCGAGCTCAGCTGGAAGAGAAGCTGGCTGCATTTTCCCCTTTCAGCCTTCGGGACTAGAGCTACAAGGTATTTTGTGAACAAAACAAGACGGTAGACCCAGGCGTCAGTGGCTGTCCCCTCCGGCAGTCTCTCTCCACCCTGTTGGAAATTCTGAAAGGCTGAAAGGGCCCAGAGATTAAGGACTTAAAGAATTTAACTCAAGTTTGCACAGCGCTTTTCACGACATTATCTTATCTGATCTCCTTTGTGTGGCGGTAGAGAGCCTCTTGTTAACAGATGAGGACACCTCTTAGCAGGGTTCAGAGGGATCAGCAGTTTGGGCCCCTGGAAAAGCTCTCGGGAACATTTGCTCATCACCCCCTAAGTGGAGTTCTGGGTCCTCCAAAACCGAGTCCTCCAAGGCACCCCGAGGGATAAGTAATATTTATCCATTTTATTGACATTGAAATGGAGGCCCAACAAGGTGAAAAGTCTTAACTTGTTTAACAAATTTAGAGTGCCTGTGTATTGCTAGGCCCCAGGGCAATGCCCCACAGCACTTCCAGGATTCCAGCCTTAAAACAGGGCTGTGGCCAAAGGTCAGAAATCTGGCATATTTAGGCCTGGGGATCTAGTGCGGCAGTTTCCCCACCAGCCCTGTAACTTCTCTGCAGTGGGCTGTGCTCCCTGTCTGCCATAATAGCTTTTTATAAGAAACTCAGGGATCTCAGAGAAGGTTTCATTTGAAAGCATAGGACTTTTTGGTACTTGGGGTCTGGAAGTGTCAGCAGGATGGGTCCAGAGAGTATCGAGAATCAGCTGGGAGCTGGAACTGGAGGGATTGACCAACCCTGGTTTTGTTATTTGGAGAAAGTAGGCTGAATGTTGTTTGCCTTGTGTGATCACATGCTTTCTTTGGCTGTTAAAATGGGGTGGGGGAAGAACACGGTAGGGGTGGGGGGAACGTACTCATTTCAAGGCTTTGCCACATAGGCACAGTCCTCAAGGCCTGGACTTTGCAATTCTCCACACCACAACAAGAGTGACCCAAGCTACCCTGTTCAAAGCTCCTCTGGGGAACCAGCAGCAAGTGAGTGCCTTGAAGTTTGGAGTCTGAAGGGAGCCTGGGTAGGCTTGGGAAGCTCAGGATTGCAGCCTTGGTGTTTGTTGGCTTGAGGAAAGCCCCTTCCCCTAGACTCGCTTAGGGGTTAGCATATGCAAAAGCAGGGCCTTTTTTGAAGTCTCTTACTCAGTTTTCTCCGGGGTGTCTGTGTTCTGACCCTGACACGGGGACCGAGGCTGGGTTGGGACTTGCGCTGCGTCACTCTCAAGTATGAAGTGTAAATTCTTCTTTGGGCCACCAAAGTAACTAAACAAGAAATGTTACATTCCCCTGCGAAGACACAGGGGTTACCAGCCCGGCTACATTAGAAAAATTAGAATAACTTGTAAATGCCAAAAGTAGAAAAATAATTGTTTAACATTCTATTCTCGTCACTTTACACTCCTCCCCTAGCCCTGAGGGAAACAAGGCCAGAAAGAGTTGAGCCGTCGTTGGGGAGTCACCTTTAGGCCCCGGGCTTGTGTTTCCTATAACAGCCCATTTTAAACGGAGTCTGGACGCTGTGGCCAGGTCTTTATTTTGCTTGTTATTCCCCACTTCTAAATTCCAACAACAAAATAATCATTTACACATTTGCCCTAAACCATGGAATGGATGAAAGAGACAAAGATGCCATCGTCAGGGGCTCAGAGTTCAGAGGCAGAGGGATTTCTCTTGACATGTTCATTTATGAGCGAGCTAATTTTACCCCCCCCCAAACACCTCCGTCTTAGTAAAGTTTATACTGCCAAAGCACACAGCCAAGAAACGGATCCCACATCCAGATCTGTAAAATGATGTTGGGGTTTTATAATCTGTAGGGTGGATGCAGTGACAGCTGTGTGGTTGTTTATTGCTTAGATCTGCCTGTCCATCCGTGGATGCTATTATAATACCGCAGGCCTTATCTCCATGATTATCCTTCATAAACAGGCTGGTGCAAGCCAGCTTCTCTTTCAGAGAGCGGTCCAAGGCTGACCCAGCATCTAGCCCCTTTTCGTTTTCCTCCTGATGCGTGCATCGTATCAGTGAGAACAGGCATGAGTTCAGGCCCCCATTTTAAAGACAAGAGATTGAATTCTGAGCAAGTTTTATGTCTTAGATAGTGCTCAGCTCCCGTGACTTACAGACAGCTTTAGTCGTGGTTTCTATTTCCATTTTCTGCAGTGCAATATGTTTTCCATATAAAAAGTTTCACGACCACATTACTCAAGCTGATATAAAAATATAGCAACTACCATTTAAATGTGGTCCTTTTCCACACTAACTACTTGTGCGTACACACACACACACACACACACACACACACACACAGATTTGACAAAGGTACCTTTTTGGAAAATGAGCCAAGGTTTATGTGTTCTCTTAAGAGAGGAGAGAATGGCACAGTTGCTAATTGGTTCCCCTCTCTGTTCTTTAGGACACATGAGCCCCACAACCTGCACCCTGAGGAAACACAAGACCAACCGGAAGCCACGCACGCCCTTCACCACGTCCCAGCTTCTAGCCCTGGAGCGCAAGTTCCGCCAGAAACAGTACCTCTCCATTGCAGAGCGGGCCGAGTTCTCCAGCTCTCTGAACCTTACAGAAACCCAGGTCAAAATCTGGTTCCAGAACCGAAGGGCTAAGGCAAAAAGACTGCAGGAGGCGGAACTGGAAAAGCTGAAAATGGCTGCCAAACCTATGCTGCCCTCAGGCTTCAGTCTGCCCTTCCCCATCAACTCTCCCCTGCAAGCAGCATCCATTTATGGAGCATCCTACCCCTTCCATAGACCTGTGCTTCCCATCCCGCCTGTTGGACTCTATGCCACGCCGGTTGGATATGGCATGTACCATCTATCCTAAAGAAGACCAAATGGATAGACTCCGGGATGGATGTTTGCATGAAAGCATTCCCCTCCCTCTCCTAGAAGGTGGTGCCAGTCCAGCTCCTGAACACAAACCTTGCATCGCCACCCTAAGCCACAGGGCCCACAGGGCCGCTTGATACAGAGTGACTTTGTTATTTAGGTGAGAGGCACCAAGACCTGTTTTGTTTTCATAATCTTCCAGATGCCCCCCCTTTCCTCTCACAAATATTGGCTCTGCTAGTTTTTATGTATAAATATATAATAAAATATAAGACATTTTTATATGCCAGATGTAAAAATTCAAGTTATTTTGAAAGGCAAAATTTATATATACATTTATCCGTTTTTCTAGATAGCATCTTCTTAAGATACTGTGCTAAGTTTGCTACATTTTCTTAAAGGGAAAGAGATTATTTGCAGAATTTGCTAGAATTTGAGAGGATGGTGGACCTTCTTATGGAAAGCATACCAGAAGTAGGCACAGAGCATATAAGAAGTAGATTCAGGTAGATTCTTGCAAAGGAAGGGAGGTGTGTACCATGTTTGCCTTTTATGTGCATAAGGATGATCCCTTGACGTGCATACGATCCTGTTTTCCTTCCTTTTCTCCATAGTAACTCTTTTCTGTTTTATTAAGGTCAGTGAGAGGAGGCTCAGAATAACCCTGAGAATTCCTCAGGGTCAGGTTGCTAATAGGAAACCTTCCTAACTCCAGTCTGGTCTGTCTTTACTCTGGTCCAGGTAATTGGCCTTAAAAAGGGTTTAAAGGGTAAAGCGTGTTTAGAAGAACTGATTTCTGTGAAATGCTCAGTCCACCAGTCCTCACGTTGCAGAGGTGATTGGGGAGGATATCGTAATGGTCTGCTTAAAAACCAGTGTCTTGTAACAGTTTTCTATATTTTCAATGTTCTTCAACAATCCATAGAATCAGGAAGGGAAAAAAAACATGGTTTCATTGTGTGTGCTTACTGTATGTGCTAAACTTATTAGGGAAGTTTATATGCTCTAACATGTTGGGGGCAGAGGGTGAAGCCGTCTTACGGACTTGCTGAAAATGTTGTCAGACAACACAGTTGGCTCCTTGGTATTTACCGTCCTGTCCATCTCTTCCAGTATATTTTTAGCCCATCGAAAGGGTATCTTGTATAATTTTATATATTTTATTGAAGAGTTATTTCTTATCTCTTACGCTGAATTAAATTAAAATGTTTTATTGCAGTAAAGTCTGTCCCAACTCACAGTTATTTTTAAAAAGTATTCTATTCTTAGCTAGATTAGGGGAGGGTCATCCAGATAAGGGGGGGGAGAGCTGGCACTTTTAATTCCTCCATTAATGTAAATCAGATCGAGTTGTGACCAAATTTGGGTGCTAGAGGAGCCAGCCGCAGGTCCTGGGACACTTGGAAATAATCATTTGGCAGCCTGGATGGCTCAGGGAGAAGCTGCTGAAATCACCATTCAGAGTTTATCATGCTGCTTTAAAGATGAGTTTTTCAAAGTGGTGAAGCAGTGCTCCCCAGACTCCTCCTAGTCTGTAGATGGCCCTGGGAAAATCTTGAACTTGGAAGTTTGCAGCCACCGAAACAACTGAAGTTGAGGCTTTTACCGCTTGCTCCGTGCTGGTAGCTCGAGGGGTTGAGAAGCCTGAAAAGGATGCGGGGGAGGGGTTTTGGGGCGGGGTTCCCTGTACTGTTGTCTCTCACGGAGATGGACCCCAAATGAGCACAATTTTCTATTTGAAGAGGGCGACCCAGCCCACCTATCCCCAAAGAACTTAGATGCCCTCCCTGCATCAGGCATAGTGTTAAAAAACAGGATAAAGGTGGGGGAAGACTGAAGAGGATTTAAAACTCAGCTTTCTGTTGTGCTGGAGATGCCTTTCGTTTTCCTTCCGAGATGCTTCTGTCACCTTGGGAACACAGATGAGGGGCTTAAGAACGCAGTGTAGGACTGTGTGGTAGAGAGTGGGGCGCTTTCCGGGAATTGCCAGCGCGTGGTACTCACCTTGGAGGTGGCACCCGAAAATCCATGTTTGTGAGCCCGAGGCTCATCATGGTCATGGTGGCCGGGCCCCTTTCCTTAGATCCAAACCTATCCTGCAAAGGCTGGAAGTTGGAGGTTGGCGTCCTGCCGCCTGGTTATCGCCCTCAGCTGAGCAGCGGGCGGGTCCCGGGGCCACCAAAATGCGCGCTTCTCCTTCTCTTTCGGCCTTTCGGTCCCCGAAGTCCAAATTCCAGACAGGAATCTGCCACACGTATTTAAGAGATGCATTTCCCAAAGGCCAAAGCCCTTCCTGGTTTCGTCATCAGCTGCCAAGGGGTCCCTAATTACCCTGTCCACCCTGCTTCCTTTCCGGCGCCTCATGGACCGGTAACCTCGGGCGGTGATAGCTGGGTGGGGACCTGGAGACACCGGCCTCTGGGTTAAGGCTCAGCTTGCCTCCGGAGGTAAGGTATTAAGTCCGGAGTTTGATTCCAAGAACCTGGTCGGACAATTGGGGTAAACTGGACTCTGGCTGCCTGGGCACCACGTACGTGACTCCAGATGCAATACTCAGAATGAGAAGCCATGAAGGGTTGATCTGGCTCAAAACTTAACGGGGTTCAGTGCTTCTGAGTGGACAGACTTTTCCCACTGAGGATGGAGGAGGGGGCAGACATGCCCTGTGCTCTGGGCGGCTTACCCCCCTCTTGTCTAGGTTGGGTCTCACCTCTGTCAGGCCTGGTCCTTTGCACAGGGTATTTCAGAGACCAGACTGGCTGCCTGAGAAGGCTAGAAGACCTTCCCTGGCCCCGGACCCACACCCGCAGAGACTATGGGAAATTTAAACTCCAGGTGCTCCTGAGAAGTCTTTGGTCATCCTTGCATCGACTGCCAGTAACCTGGCATAGGAATACACCTGCCCTTCCCTACTTGAATGCTTTCACCAAAACAAAACAACAACAACAAACGCTTTGTTTTTTAAAATAGGGGTGAAAGGACAGGAGTTTGCATTTATGGAGCTGAGGAGCCAGTATTTAGGGTCGATGGGGGCGCCTCTCTTGAACCAGTGTTCAGCACACATCCTTCGGTGAGGTCACAAACAGTCGGGAAAACTGATGCCCAGAGAGGCAGCTCACTGAGGTCACAGATGACAGCGGTGGCTGGGAATCCAGTTGAAGGGTGAACTGAGGAGGTGGTGACCGAAGAGGTGGCCTAGAAGGACGCGCTCAGAAAGCCGGCGGGTATCTGAAGGGCCAGCTTTGGAGTTCTGCACCGACTCGGGTCCCTCATTGCTGAGGGCCTTCCGCAGGGCATCTCCACCCGCCCTGGGGACCCAGCCCGCCCCTCCCCCTCTCGGTCCTGCTTTGGTGACGCGGGGGCAGGGGCCGTAGGAGGTAGGCCGTGGAGGCCTGGCTGAGAGCGGGAGCTGGCGAAACGTCTGCCTGACCCGACTGAAAAGAGGATGCCTGCCTTTGAGCGCAACCTTGTCTGACCGAATGAAAACTCCCACGGCCATTCTTTGCTATGAAAGCCTCTCATTTGCCACGGGTTGGAGAGGCCATTGCCCCACCCCCATTCCTTTTCCACCGCTGGGCTGGAAATAAGCATAAACCTCATTTATAAAGGAACCCACGTCACACACACACACACCCTCCCCAAAATCACAGGGCCTGGTTGGGGAAGTCGATTGTGCCTGCTTCCCCTTTCATGTAAGAACAACAAAAAAATCCGAGATTGGTGATGGTACAGGCCGCTTTAATGAAATAAAGTAGTCACGGCAAGGAGGAAAAGGCTCCTGTCAACCTCCAGGCCCCCGTTACCCGCCCCTCACCCCCAGACACCCTCTCCCTCCACCCTCCGGGAACAAAATGAACAGCAGTAAAATGGCTTTCTGGAATAGCCCGCTTCAAAGCGGAGCGGAGGACTCGCTGCCGACTCTCAATACTGCCCCGATAAGGTCCTAATAGCCGAATCCAAACTCCATACACCTCTGACTTTTCCAACCTCCTCCAACCTCGCTGCATTTGTGGAGGAAAACACTTTGATGTCCTGAGTCCTCCAAACAATTATTATTATAATTTTAAACAACCTGGTATTTTCCATTACTAACGGCTCAAGCTTTGAAGTTACACCTCATAATTTCCTAAATTAAATAAATCATTTTAAGTTTGCACTGGGAGGCTTTTAATAGCAGAGAAAGGAATATCATTATCTTATTGAGACCCAATTGTGGTGGCTCCAGCTTGGCTGTAGCTGGGGGCAAAGCAGACCTAGTCTAACAGACATACTTTATTAACCTCCCATAACTCTTGAAAGAACAGTTTTATATTTTCTTTGATTTCCCCCCTCCCTCTCTTATTTTAAAGCTGTCCCAACCTTTAATTAGTGCTTAATATGAAAAGCATTATTTTTTTAATGCTATGTAATTTACCAGCGGCAACAGGCCAACTTAACAATTGTTTATTAGACTTGGTTTTTCACACAGGGCAAAGAATGCCGCTCTAAACCCAACTTTTCATGGGTGGTTGCACTAATTAATACAGTGTCTGAAGCTCCTAGGGTTTTTTTTTTTTTTTAATATTGAAGCATATGAGGGTGGAGGGGGGTTTTCAGAGTTCAGCTCCTGCAGACGACATTCCCTGATTTCTTTCATGCTGTTTTGTCCTGTCTGTGAAGTTAACACAGACAGAAGCTGTTCCCTGGCTCCCCGGACGCTGAGATCCCAACAACAGCAAGGGAACCCTGGACACCTCAACTTGTGATTTATGACTTATGAGGCCAGGCTTGGAGGCTCAGGGGGGTCCATTGCTCATTCTGAGCTTAGGGTGGGGTCGCCCCTCATCCAGCCTGCAAGGGTGCAGAGCAAACCTGATGTCTTGGTCTGGGCCAAGCAAGTGCCCAGATGGCCCGGGCACCAAGAGAGTGCTTGATGCTGGGCATAGAATTTGCTGGGCTGAAGCAGGAACTGGGGTAAAGGGGTAGGATGAAGGACAAGCTGAGACTCAGGTCTGTCGCCCTGCCGTCGATCTGACTCTTGGCTTCCTTCTCCTTCCTCGTTCTTTTGTCTTATTTCCCTTTCGCGTCTTCTGTTCCTCTCCCACTCTTTCCCCCTCCTTCTTTATAATATTCCCCTCCTTTATTTTTCACGCCCATCCCACCTTATGTCTCGTTAATTTTTCCTGTCTCCGATTTGTTTCGAATGCGCTCATCCTGGTAACTTCTCCCTCCCTCTCTTTTCTTCCCTCCTCCTTACAGATGTCATTGCTCCTGCGTAGCTCTCGCAGAGTTTCCCACACCCTCGTTTTCTAAATTAGTACCATCCCCACCCTCTCCTCTTGCCCTCTTCTTGCTTCCAGTTTTCCTTCTGTCCCAGCAGCTCAGAACAGGCGGATGTCGCGGCCCCGAGCGGCTCACTCAGCGTAGGGTGGCTCGATTCTGCTCTGCGCTCTCTCTCTCGGGGGGCTGCACCTGGCTAGCCAGCCTCTGATCGACCCTGGCGCGGGAAGGGGCCAGGACTCGGGGCCAGAAGGACAGAGTCCGGGAGCGAGGCCCCTCCCGCCCCTCCCGCAGCCAGCCGCCCGTTTGAAGTCGCGAGCCGGGCAGGAATGCAGCCGGGTTATCAATCACCCAGCTGGATCCCGAAGGTCTCAGCCTAATCACATTTAATTGCTCGTGGAGGCCCATTCTCGCCCCCGGCTCGCCGCCGCGCTCAATTACTCCCCAAATACCTGCCATCAATAAATGTGCACTGACACCGGGCCCAGCCCGCTCCTCTGGCCCAGTAGATCCCAGGCGACCAGGTAACCTCGACCCCGCGCCCACCCCATCGTTAAACTTCAAATCTCAAGGGAACAAGCCGCGCAGAGGACACCCCCACCACCACCGCGCCCCGGTTGAGCGCTCCCCAAGGGGCAGGCTCTGATACTCAGAGACTTACATTCATCTTCTCCTTTCAGGGAATGGGGCTTACGTCGGGTGTTAGTTTTGCCCGAGGTGATCAAGACAAGCAACAGGGGTGAAACCTTGCCACCCATCCTAGCTATGGCGGCTGGAGGAAAACATGAGACAATAGCACCTCCCAGAGGCCGGAGATTTGCCTCCACCTCCCTTCCTCGTGGTAGTGCGCTGACCAGGCACTTCTCCAGCCCTCAGGTGCCTGTCTGCGGCCTGCTGTTTGTGAAGCAAGAA